CCCCATTGCCATACTGGAGAAACACCCACTATCAGGGTTTTCATATCTGTTCCATCACCTTCTGGCCATGGCACCATACCCATCCCGAGCCCAGACACCAACAACGCCTTGTCCTCCCGATCCATCTTTTTCCGCGCGCCGTTACGGATACTCCCTTCTGGCCCTGATCCACCAGCCACAACTCCGTTCCTGATGCCATGTAGCCAATCACGATGTCTGCCCTGGATAATACCCTCCAACCTTGACAGCGGGTACTCTCGGCGTTGTGGCTCGTGCAAGGGCTAGCCGCTCGGTAATGTGGCTGCTCCCGACACCAACCGAGAATATCCGAGGGTAGGCGTTGGGCACACAAAAATTTCTGGTATACAAAGAGAAAACATGTTGATAAGGGATGAAAAGTGGGCTGGAGTAGTCAATTTGTTTAGAGGCGTTTGATGTCACTGCCGTACGCATGCGACTGACAGATAAGTCTTCATTGGCTGGGATGATTTGCAACAATCCATGTGGTTGTCAGAGCGTCACTGGAATCGGTTCCGTCGGATCAGGGCAGCTCCTGATTGCTCGACGGTTATCTATTCTTGTTCAATACACTTAGTGTAGATTTGTGATTATCGGAGAATAAGTATATCATGCCTTGATTGTGCTCTTTCTCTACCGTCCTCCCCACCCTTCCAATCGTCTCGCTGGTATCTTGTTTGCTTATCCCTTAAACCTGCTTCAAGCGATAGGCACCTGGTTTGATACCATACCATCTTTTATACAATCGCTATTGATCTCATTGTTTTACTAAATATATCAATGTTATACTAAAGTCCACGGGGCAACCATCTTCCACTATGACATTTACATCGACAGTGTATCAAAAATGCTACCCCACCACAGTGTGCCCCTGATGGGCAATTTCTATCAAAACTCACCAGGCCCCTTGCCGAAATGACCCCCAGCAGGCACTGTCAACCATGGCACGGAGTTCTCATCGTCGGTATTCGATCCCACCGTATTTCCCCACCAGTTGAAGGTGGTGTTCGTGTACCCGAGGGCGAAGAAAATCACAATGGTGGCAATGGCCGTACCGGTGTCCATCGCTGCTTGGAAGAGGTCTATTATATGATTAGTATTGAGCACTTGCCATCGTCTCATCGGTAGACGGGGAATGCCTACAGTTGTACTTCTTCCACCAAGCCAAGGCACGTTTGCGAATGAGGTAGTTGAACAGGAATCCGAAGATGAACCAGAGCGAGTATTGTGCTGGGCCATGTTAGCATTTCTTTGTGTGCTCGGATGGTATGAGCGGGGAACGAACTAGTATTTGCAGGAGGGATGTTTCCTGCAGCGTTGAAGAAAATGGGTACGTTGACGTATTTGACCCAACTCTGCGGATAACGTCGGTAGATCAGGTACACAATCACCGTCACCACGGGCTAAACCTATCAGCAAGTATACAACATATGAGGAGCCGTTCAAACATACACCGATGAGAAAGAAGTACATCAACGAGTGATAGACTTGCCCGGACTGAAACATCCGCTGTGGTCCAACGGTACCCCAGATCAGACTGGCGTTATACATGACCTTGGCGCCGGCGCAGGTAAACCGCTGGGCATTGTCGGTGTCGCATAGCCCGGAAATATTTCCCATCATCCAGCGGAGCACTATCTCCCATTAGCTTGAGCCCATTGGTCGGTATTAATATTCTTACCTCCTGTCTGAGTCATCGTGGCAAGGATACTGGCATATATCTGTCCGAAGAACAGAACACGGGGCGGAATTTTCTAGACCCGTTAATACTTGCAGCCTGCGATCTATCGGTTAGACTTACCATGTACTGCCCCATTTTGAGGTCCTGAGCAAAGTCCATCCCGTGCTTAACGGCATTATACCCGTAACACTTGACCATCATGTTGGCGATGGGCTTGCCCGGCCAGGCGTAACCGGCGATCAGCTCTGTGATAATATTGAGAAAGATGCGCTGGTTTGTTGTCCCCTCCAGAATGCCTTCTGGGACAATGAGTACCACGCCCATTCCGCAGCACACAACGATGAAACCCCAAACAGGCAGACCTGTCTCCCAGTATTTCGTGGTGAGGATTCCCAGGCCCGCCATGACAACGAACAACGCGCCGTACCACCAGTCCGGGACTTCAGGGTAAGCACGCATCAAACGACGATGGATGTCTTCACCACCGTGACGAGCATTCTTGAACTTGGCCCAGATCTCCGATCCGTTGTAGAGGTAGGTGTGCACCACGATGGCTGTCACCGCCGCGAAGGACAAGCCGTAGGTGAGCGAGTACGACATGGAAAGATACATTGGCGAATACTCTTTGTATTTACTGAGGACGAAGTCCCCGTTAGAGTCGACGACTCGGGTCACATTGTATTCGCTTCCGGTGTTGTCAAAGGTGGAAGAAGAGAGCAAAGGCAGGCTGAGCATGCTGTTAACAGACATCTCCATGCGTATTCATGGCTGGGCACTCACTATGCGCTGAACCAGACATCCTTGTAGTATAGGATTGGGGAGAGGAAGAGGTAGAAAAAGACTACCACGGCAAAGGCATTGCAGGTAATGTAGAAAGGGGTCATGAGAGGGTATCCGGCGTAGTTAATCTGCGTCCAGTCCAGACTGAGCGGCAGCAGCCCCAGACCCGAGTTCATCTACCCATGTCAGCAAGCCTATGAAAGCATACTGTATGTAAGACTTACACCAAAGATAGTGTTGACCTTCTGGTTGTGCGGTGCAATCCAAGTGACGAATGCAAACGCGCTAAGAGTTGTCCAGATGTAGTCGGGGAACCAGTAGATGACAAAGGCAAACAGAGTCGCGTACCCAAAGAAGCTATACCGACTCAATCTCCAACCATTGGCGGGTGCCGTATTTTGGGGCTCATGCAGGGCACGGAACAAGACCGTGGAGGATAGAGATTGAGGCCAGATCAAGGCCGCAGGATAGACGAGCCAACGCCGGCACATTCCAGCAAGGCCGAACCTATTATGTCAGGCAGGTGTGCTGGTGGGAAGTGCAATTGGGACACTTACCCCATCATTTGCGACGTCAACAGGTATAGGAATGAGAACCCCGCCCCGTAGTCCTTGCCCCAATATTGCGGCATAATGATCGCCACGAGGGAGCTGGAGGCATAAGCAATTGAGGCACTGATGTTCACACACTAGTTCAATTAGACTTTGCGGTAGAAACGCCATTGCATATTTAATGGCTCTTACAATGGTAATGAGTGCATGCTCCTTGATGCTGAACGGCCCCGGGTTCAAGTCGAATGACAATCTTCCAAGAGGTATCCTCCACCGCGGCAGCCTCTCCCATCCTCGCCCGATCGGGTAGACGAGTAATTGGGCGACAACATATTCGACAGTGAGGGATGGCTAAACAGTTAGTCTCAGGTACGACTTAGGAATGGAGGTTCGCACGTACATATCGTAGACTGAAAAATTGATTGACTGCCGCGAAGACCATAACGAATATCGTGGTCAGAACCCACGCCCGGAATGCTGTGTCACATCAGTATGTTGGCCAGTACACCCCTCCATTGGCCTAGACGGAATTGACTGACTGTTGCATGGTAAGGTAGGATCATCGGTGTTTGGCACACACGCAGCGACTTCTGGAACTGAATACCTGGTATCAGTGAACGAACAATATCAGTCAAACAGGCCAGCAATACTCACAGGGCGATTGGTCCCCCTCAACATTCCACTTGAAGGCCTCGAGAGGAGTAAGCTCTTTCTGTTCGGCGACAATGTTCTGCCTTTTCAGGTCATCATTCTCCTCGAGCAGCTCGGCGTCCACGTCGGTGACACCAGCTTGCTTAGTCTCGATGGCATCTTTGGCCTCACTTTCTGCATGATGAACCGAATCCATGCCTGCTGCCTCTTGAGTAGCAAAGAGGACAACGTTTGGCGCAGGAGCGACCGAATGAGCAGGCCTTTGTAGGTGATATGCACCGAGGTCAATAATATTACCCAGAAACGCCCATAGACCCCGCGGATACCTGCATCTTATCTGTCACAACGATCGAGCAGGTACCACAAAAGTGGCAGGAGTAGCTGCAGACTGGCGATAGTCCCACCGTAAATGATAACAACCCGCAGGTGAAGCACACCATCCTATCGGGGGAGACGCTTAGCAGATTGGCTCCCTTGCTCCTAACCCCAGCAGGCCAAGACCGACCGTGAAGCTCTAGCGGATGCAGTGTCACCTACCGTGAAGGTTTGTGATAACATGCCGCTCAGTCCACGAGTCATATCCACTTTCAATGGTGGCATCGGAGCGCCCGACACCGGATGGCCATTGTGCATATTCCCGCGCAGTTCTGGAATCGCGCGCGAAGTTTTAGCCAGAGCAGTCGCCATGTGGCAGGCAGCAATCATTCAGGGTTGACGAGCCCTACCAAACACCATTGGGGTCAACTCTTGCGTCTTCTATACTAAATTCATTGATTAAGGTGGTCCGACGTTGATTCTGTCTTTTGGCGTTGGATGGCGTGCTGGAGCACCGCGTTGACTGGCCTTATCGCCGACAGCGCTGAGGGGCCAGGGTGGAGCTAAGGATGGAAGCTAATCGATGGTCGATCAACCATCTTCTCCAAGCTTGTTAGCACGTTTGTCTACTTATCGGAGTTCAGCTTATTGGCCGCGAGTCTCCGAATCCTGGTCAGGGCTAATTGCTACTCCAATCCCCGCTTTCTGAGAGGTATTCTCCCGGGAGCCATCGCGCCCATGCTCTTGTCACTCCCTGCAGCGGGTGGCAATCGTGTGATCAATTCACGCTGATTTGCTCCCTATTAGAGTGAAAAAAAAAAATGCGAATTAGTGTGTTGGGGTGGGGTAGTACCCTGATTCAGGTCTTACATTTCCATCAGCCGACATCCTGGTTAGTAGAATGCAGCTAAGGCAACACTGAGATGTAGGGAGCTGGCAGGTGATAAGATGTCTTATTTGTCTCTTTTACTGGAGTTTACATGGACCCCACAACTACTCTGACACCACGTTTGCAGATAGATACTCCTCTTGCATCCACAGTGGCATGGTCTGGACGAGGCCCAGCGATGACGAACACAGTTAGTGCGTGGATTCTTGTGCCCAAACGTACGGAGTTCTATCCCAAGAGAGAAGGTCTGGCCAGTGGCCGCGGACGCCAGCCTTAAAGGATTTAGTCCAGACAAAGATGGGGGTGAGAATTCCAGCGGATGCTCCCAAGACAAGGCCAATACACGACAAGCATTGTGGAATGAATAACCATGGCCATGGCTCACCTACACTTGGAAGGAAGAAGAAACATCTAGCTCCTGATTGGATCGTTTTGCGCCAGATGGTGTCCGAGCGAGCGATAGCAGAACCTTCAGCTGCGGTCAATGCCGATCGCCCTCTTGTCCCGGTCAGCTGGCCATGTTCAACCCAAAGCTGCATATATACAGACACTTGGCTGGTTAAACCTCTAAAGGATACTTTCTCTACTAATTAAAGTCGGTTGCCAGAACTTTTGCCGATCGCGCTGCGCAAAAGTCAGACGAAAAAAGCAACCAACCCTTCCCCCAAGTCAAACTGCGATGGGCGAGTCCAGTACCACTTTTAGGGTGTATGAGCCGAGGTTGCATTATAACCATGCTCATCGGTCTCACTTTTTGTTTCTTGGGTAATGCGTCCCTTGCACCGACCTCGCCTACTGTGTGAACATGAGTGCAGTAAGGGAAAGGCCGTTCAACAATCCTCGGCTCTCTGTTAGTCTCAAATGCAACAAAAGCAAGGAGTTCTGATATATAGCCGAGTCAAGCAAGAATCAACCCGCCCGCCGAGCGGTACGATGTCAGAATATGCGCCTTAAAATGTGGTCCATCGTACTGCCCAGCAGGTACCAATGTTATGTGCAGGATGGTCTGGTAATTGCCAGAATATTTCTATGTTGCCGTGACATACAATATGTTTCACTGCCTACATGGACTTGGAGGATGCCGTCTATAAAAACGGCAGGCATCGAGCCAAGCCGTGGGGACGGTGGATGATATGGGCCGGACATAAGATCGGCGATAACGGTGGAGAGCGAAAAACATCGTCGCAAACCAGTGTCTGCCCCTCCAACAGAGCATTATAGTGTTCTCTAAGTGTCAGTTCAAGCAGTGCTACCACTCATCTTGTACGTCGCATCTCTACGTGGATCAGCCATGCGGGAAGCAGTAGGTGGACATGCGGCTGCTCACCGCGACTCCACATCACCGCCACAGCAGATTGAACTTAGACTCGAGGATGTGTGGATCGGTGTGACTGATCCGAGGGAAAGGCGCAGGTTACAGAACAGGTTAAACCAGAGGGCCCGAAGTAGGTTGGCGAACGAGTCTCTGCCGAGTGGGCTGGCTGACGATCCAGATAGGGCGCCGTCAGCACTTGACTGAAGCGCTGCCCGAAAGATCTGAGCCATACTATCCTCACGCGTAGTCTACAACGGCGTCGACGCCCTGTCAACTCGATTTTCGATGTTTGGATGAACTCCGTATCTTTGGTCCGCTTGCCGCAAACTCCCGCAGTATCCTGCAGCAACTCGAGGCTATGGTGCATGTTGAGTTTTCAACTGGCTCACCACAGGCTGATATGCGATTGGGCGTAACTCGGTTAAACATATTGCGCGCATTGTACATCAAAGTTGATATTTTGGGTTATGATGCCAGATATATGGCAGCGATGAGGCGCTGTCAATGTTCGCCATGATTGGACCACGATGTCTAGCAACAATCGGTCGGGCGGCTCTCCTGCCACCTGCATTACAGCCCACAGAGATTCAACGCACTGTACCCCATCATCCCTGGCTTGACCTCATTCCCATACCGAGGATGCGCGACAACCTGATTTTAATGGAGAATCTGATGGACGATGGCCAATTGTGTCGGGATATGTGCGGCTACCACTCTCAGGTACTTCGGACGGGGCGTAGACGTCAGACGGGGATAAGAGAACTGAACGGGAGTGATCGTGTGGAAAGACCCCTGGGATCCCGCTGACTGGGAGATTACCGAGACTTTCTTCCAATTGTGGGGATGGACTGTCAAGGATTGCTGGGACTTGTTTCGTTCCACCAATGCATGGCGGATGCGTCGGGGAGAGAGGCCACTCTTTGCAATACCTTATGCCGGTAACTACTAGTGTAGTGAGAATGCATATGCTTTCACATTATACTATGTTGTCTGTCGCTCTGATCATCTAGAAGAAATATCACTGGATCGAACTCCTATTACTGCCGACTCACGGGAGGAGAGTGTGGATGATAGTATATATTTTTGTTGCAACCCCGGGTTGAGTCAGTGGCGGATTTTATCATCTGGCGATCGCCAGTAGACAATGTTTACCTAAGTATAATCAGCGACTAGTTATACATCTCTTCTATTTATAATAAGGTGGTGATAACAACCGGTTTCAACGATGGAGCGTATAGGCGATGTGCATACCCTCGATGATCCGAAGAAGTCAGCCAGCCATCACCGCCAGGGAAAACCGCGGTTTTCCTGATTCGGCCTAATGGGAGTGAGGATGTCAGCATTTAGCGCTGCACTAATCCCATTCGGTACACCGTCTAACCGGAAATGGTTAGCTGATCGGATCATGAGACGCTTATCGCGGAGCCTGAGGCAAGAAAATAAGAAATGATTTGTGACAGCCAGATGGCCTGCGCAAAGAGCTCTTGGGATGTCATCCGTTAGAGACAGGCACATCCCCATTACCACTACTGTCGTGAAACATTCGAAAGTGGATACCATCGGATCTCGCTGACACGGGAGCTAACCAAGTTGGGCATCACTGCGACTCGAGGCGATGGGTAGGACAAACAAAGCACACAGCTGCAGTCATACTCTTCATGACAGATATGCATCCATTCCATAGACATAAAAACGTTATCATTATAGTACATGAGAAAGGAAGATAGCAGTTGACATGCAGACAATAACGGCCATAACACCAGACGCCCCCATCATGCCCATTTGATTGCTATTGCACAACCCTTGATCAGACATTTGAATCAATCCTTCTTCTGATGGCTAGGTGCACGACCAACTCTGTTCTCGCCTGTCTGCCCGCCAACCATGGTATGGACGTCCTTTTGCGAGTACAGCTTCTCTTCCTTGCTTGGTGACTGTGCGCGGAAGAACATCCAACCACCAGCGATCATGCCGATCACACTAAAGATGGCAATGTTGCGAGAGCTGCAGTTATTAATATATTGCACAGGAAAGTCAACAAGGCAAACAGCAGTGACCTACCGAACCGAGGGCGGGTGACCGCCAGTAAGGCCTCCAGCAGCAGCCATTGTGGAATGAGAACGGTAGAAATGTGGACTAGGTATATGACCGACTAGATAACGAAATGCCCGATACGATATATCAGTGAATTGTTACTTCCAAGCAACGAGGGCTTCAATGCTAATATAGGTCTAGATTCGATGGCGGATGGGTGACGTCAAGATTAAGCGTCCGTCGGGAGAGCGACAATCGGTTCGTGTTCCGGCGGATAAGCTTATAACCTCTTTGTCTCTTTCACAAGCTGGGCTTCTTTCTACTTTTACGAGCTTGCGTCAGGGCGACGTTATGATGGATGAACCGGGAGGGATCGTGTCCTGCAATGAGAGATCCCTCATTGGGTAACTGCCTGGTAGCGGATCGGATTCTAGAATGGCTGCTGTTCATCCTTTACGCTACTGACCACTGATAAGATCTACGACCATGGAAGGGGTCCTTTACACTAAATAGATTTGTTCAGGAGGAAGAATAAGACCTAGCCTGAAGGTAGTGGCAGGTAGGGCACCCTAGTCACGGCATGCCCATCAAGACACGAGACACAGTGACATACAATAGTAACCGAAGCTACAGCAATAAAAGACCCTTAGTATAACATCCACAAAACAATGCAATTTCTTTTTAGTATTAAGCTTTACACAGTGAACTCAAACAAGTCTAGCCCTGCCGCGACTTAACCCGATCGATAAAGTGCGGCAACGGAAGCTATACAAAGCACCGACGTCATCGAGTCCGGACCGCGGCGATCGATCGATCCACATTCAATCCAGTCTCAACAATTCCAATGTTATCGCAAAATTCCAAACATTCACAGTATTCCCCCACCAACCTCAACCAGAACGCAACGCATATACACAAGAAATGTGTACCAAACGTCCATCTGGCCCCTTCTTCTTCGGGGGACCGCAGTAAGTCCACCCATCTAAAAAAAACCATCACGTCCAATCCCACCTAACAAACCACCAAATCAAAGACGTTGGTCCTCCGTCGATTGGACGTCCTCCGATGACCGCGTCCGCGGCGGCTCCTCGCAATCTTACCTTAGCATCAACGACGACACCAACACCGCTACTTTTCACGGCAACCTCGACATCAAGACCCTCGGCGGAGCAGGCTTCGCCTCGCAACACACAGCCAGCACCACCGAATTATGGGATCTGAGTAGCTACGCTGGGCTCGAACTTTCTGTTCCTAAGAGTGATGGACACACATACACCTTGAATCTAAGGGATGAACTGCAGGATCCTCGACCGGATGGGCGCCAACGGAGCGGGTTGGTCTGGGAGGCAAAGTTCAAGGTCGAGAAGGGCCAGACGAACGTAAAGTTGGGGTGGAGGGAGTTTCGGCCGACATATCGTGGGAGGGAGGTGCATATGGGAAGACCATTGATCTTGGCGGGGGTGAAACAGTTCGGGATAATGATTCGGAGGTGAGTGCCTTTTTGCATTGGTTGGTTGGGCTAGTGCTGTTGGTCTGGTGCTGACTTGGTTGTGATAGTTTCTTTGGGGAACAGGAAGGAGATTTCGAATTGGAAATAGAGTGGATCAGAGGCATTAAGAAAGAAAAGGAACGGTATAGGGATGACCCGAATGATTCTGAGTATGATGGGGAATATTATGATGAGAAGCATTTTAGCGACGATCAAGAAAGCAGGGGCCTAGGATGGCTATGCTGCTGGTGATCATGCTATATTACCCTTATCACGAGACATTAATAAACGCCAAATTTGAACAACCAACTATCATCCACTCATAGTTCAGCACTTTCAGCATATTCTCCCGTCTTGACAAATGTCTCGATAACACGAATCAACCGACCCAGTTTGACAGCGTCCTCCGCTCCCACCGTCAGGACGGCATGGTTGCTCTCCTTTTTAGTATCGGTGACCCATGCGTTTATTATCAACCTTCCTTGCGCAATATCCGCCGCGAAGAGTTCTTCGAACGCAATCTGCGTGGAAGGAATATCTAAGCGCGAGAGAACTGCCGCTTCACATAACCCACGTTGCATGAAATGGGTCTTAAGCAGCCCCAAATGGTAAGATCCGGTAACGCGTGGGTTGACATCGACTATAACATGCTCCCCATTTGCATCTGTCATGACATCGGCTCCCACCGGCCCGTAGTACCCTTTGTTGTGCAACGCTTTGGCCAAAACCTCTATCGTAGATCTATACCGATCCTGAAACATGGGTTGCAAGAGGTACGACACGCACCCACCATTCCAGAACCCTTCCTGGGTGAAACGCTGTCGAGACGTGGCCAGGTACACCGCACGGCCCTTTTTAGTAACGAAAAACGTGACCCCATGGGCCTCACCTGGCACTAGCTCCTGAATGACGAAGCTTGCAGGGTACAGTTGCTCATTCTCTTCATTGACTTTCTTGAGCCCATCTTCGAGGAGACTCCGCAGCTCTTTCATAGCAGTGCCTCTATCTGATTCACGTCGGATAACAAATGTTCCATAGCCCGAGGCAGCAATAGATACTTTCACCACAAAGGGGAAGCTTTGCTGCTGAACAGCTTGCAGCATCCGTCTGACTTCTGCGTCTCGGCCTGCTGTCCAGGAGTTTACCGGTAGCGGATCGATAACCTTGGACTTTGGTGTTGGCAGACCACTCACGGCCAGCCAACGCTTAGACAGGACCTCGTAAAGCATCTCTGGTTCTAGTGCTTGATCTAACATTGCGCACATATGATCACGCGGCACAATGAACACTGCACGCGAGTCCGGGGTCAGTTGGACATCGTGCGTACTCCTGACTATTTGTGCGTTGGGCCGTTGCTCCGGGCTCAATTGGTCATAGAGACGCCGTAACTCGTCCTTTGACGTTGTCAACAGGCTTGAAATTTCTTCACCCTCATTCCCACTCAGGTCAATCATCAGGACAGGTGTACGACCAGCCACGAAGGAATATCGTTGGGCGACACCGCGCTTCTGTAGGTTCGGCATCTCCCCTTCTGCATTCGTACCGGGAAAATTGGCAGCGTACAGAAACCGCGGATACGGAGACGAATTGAGTTGGTCGTGGGGGAATTTGCAAGGGTAATCATAAGCGAGAACAATGTTTCCGGGAGTGTCATTGTCCAAGGAGTATAGGTCGTGTAAAGTACAGTCTAGTGTGATAGGGACTTTGGTGATGGCCGACTTCGTCGAGGAATACGGCTCAGGCGGCACCACTGGAAGTGGCTGAGGAACTGTCACAGCAGTCATTCTTGCTTGTAGTCAATGGCGAGTTTCGATGCCTTGATTCTGTTTTTGCAGCTCTCTCCAAGCCGTTCGCCTGATGTTATGGCCTCTGAGAATTTATGCGTCAGCCACCTCAGATCAGCAATAGCACATGCCACATTTTTCACGGGGACAAAGACACCAGAAGTACCAAATAGGAATTGTTTCCTGTAGTTAGTCGACGTCAAGAGACGTCATGAGGGAAGTCGATTGCCGTTCGCGGTCGGAATTCTCGCCAAAGTTCACTAATTCACCGCGGACCGGTAGCCTACTACTCAACTAGATACCCAAAGATAGTACCGGTGATTGAAGCGAGTGGACAATGATTGGAGTCATTGATTCTCTTTCTGGTTCAGCAAGTGGGTTGCCGATTTCTCCATGACTGAGACGGGTCCTGCAGATCGATGTAACCCTGGGAAGTTGTGGGCTCGGGTATATCGGGACCCGCATTTGGCAGGCCGAGATCTCCCAGTACCTTCATGATAAATCATGCACGAGGGTTTGGCTTCAGGAGGCTTCACACTCAAGGCCTAATCAATGAAAATTACATTTCGTAGTAATTCCAAACCCAGTATAGCTTGCTTGAATGTTAGCAAACGGGGAATTTCGAGGAAGAGAGTGAACGGGAATAAAGCGTGAAGGGAAGTATCATCCAGAACACTTATTAACTGGCTCCACCAGTCCAATGACTAGTTGCCTACCAGGGCAGTTTGGATTTCCTCAGTAGTCTAACTCTGCCATCCCGGCAAGCCACTGCGCTCCCCACTCTCCCAGCAAAGCTTTTGAGCTAGACCTTTGCGGTAATGGTTTCCATTCTTTCATACCCCCGGATATGGCTGAGAAACCACCGCAGGCGTCCAGGGTGGCTTCATGCCTATAGTAACCTTCCTAGCTGTACCCAATCATGGCTAGGGTGCTCCACTATGAACAATGGACTGTCAGGATGCTGTTTAGCTCGGCCCGTGCATTTGCTTGATCTGATGTTGACCCATGGCTTAGTGGTGCATATCAACCATGGCATCTTCGCTCAAGACTCCCACAACTGTTAGTGAGCATTATCAAATCACAAACAAAGAGGCTGTAGAATACGGCACGTTAGCTGTTCAGTTCCACGATTGTGAACGTCAAAGTCAGTTGACACCCTTCTGGTGCGCATGTTCCTGAGTGTGGAGGTTGCTGGGCGCACAAGAAGCGGCCAACAGAATCTTGATATCACCTCGGTGTCCCCGAAACTCTATACTGCACTCTGCACGAAGGGAAGGTAGGCCGCGATTCTCTGCTATTTTACACCATACGTTGTATTGGAGCTCGGTCAATCAATCAGGAATTAACTTACTTACTTTTTTTATGTCTAACCACCATCAGATCCAGTTGTGGCTGAATTCTGCCTGCGTCGCTGAGGTTTTGTCTCTGTTACAAAAGACTATTTTGCAGGGCTCTACCCACCTATTAGACTCACTCGCAGCTCCAACTCTTGTCGGCCGATAACAAGCTGTGTCAATCAATTTTAAGCGTTCTTAACAACAAGTAGCATTGTGTGACAGTAATGCAATGAACAGTTATCCTGGAATCGCCTTGTGTCAGAACGTCCAGCGACTCGGGTTGAAGACAAAATAGTCAACAGAGGAGCGTCTCAGTATCCTCAGCAATGACTCATAGGTATCGACTGAGGCAACTAATCTTTACCAGGGAATCATTGATCTCAAGTAGTCCAGCACCCCATTGTTAGTGGTGGTTGTTTCCTCAGGAGTGGATCAAGTAATTGTCCAATAAAAGCCGCTGTATTCGATGATTTTTCTGAAGCGATAAGCTTCGGTGAGGTACGTACCAACGGGCCGCTGGGCTGCACCACATATAGGAGGACTCTTGCTTTATTGACACCACTCATGAGGACACGGCATCTTTACTGGGCCGGAGGGGTCTGCCAACGTTGACTTACTCCGTAGGTTATGAGCCAGGAACTCGCGAGAACATTTCATGAACGAGATTGACATGTCTTAGTACCGTCGATATCAACCACGCCTTATTCGGCGCGATCGAAATAATTTCGTCGTAATTTCATTTTCCTGGCATTATTTCCTATGGCTTTGGCAGCTGTCAGAATTCACGCGCCCCTAGAAGTATCAAGTCAAGTAGTTGAGAATACAGATTAAGCGACTTCCCTAGGATACGTTTCGGCCACTCATTCTCTCAGAGCTCACCCCCGCAGACAGCATCACATCACGCTGGATGAGCAAGAACCCTGGTATCCATTTTTCAAGTTTAGCTTAGCGTCTATGGCTTCCGTTGAGCCCCGAACGCTGAGGACTATGGCAAACGTGCACGATGAGTTGCTTAAGAACAAAGCTATAGGCTAGCCTACAGTACGGCAGGCAACGGGTAAACTTCAAGGCGAATCTCTGCATCATACGGAGACGAGCAGTAAAAATTGTCCATTCTAACTCCTCAATTAACTGTCTGGTACAGAGGCTGAGAGCATTCGATGAACGCTCCAGGCATGGCGTGTCTCTTCGTCTCCGGTAGATGCTGATCTGAGCGAACCAGATGAGCGAGACTCCTCGGGCTGGGAAAAGATATCCTCCAATGTCTCATGGATCGGAGTAGGGTAGCATATTGCCTGATGAAATAAGTTTGACTACAGGAACAGGCCCTCATGGGGCGTTCCATGTTGGATAGTATATTCAGCCATTGTGTCTTTGAGGATAAGTCAAAAACGTGTATCTGCCCGGTTGTCTGGATCCGAACAGCCAGGAAGACATCGGAATTCGCACTCCAAACTGAACTCGGCTGCTTTCTTCAACAGGTTCCTTTTACATCGGTGTCGCTGCTGAGCGTTTGCCCGAGCACTGTCTGAGTGGCGCTTCTTTACCCATGATGATCTCTTAGACATCGCTTGGATTCCAACCTGGCGGATAAGTTGGAAATTCCATGATTGTGGGATATTCAGGTTTTCTAGATATCTTTCTTCCAGGCGCTGAGGGCCGCTGCGGAACCGATGCGCTGTATAGGCCTCTTTACTCGCAGACAATACCAGGGTTTCACGAGTTTTACCGCAGCGAGGCCGTCGTTCGTAGCTTTTTCTACTATAAAAGCCTCTACTGTCATTACCATAGTATTTCATCCCTCCTCCATCATCTGCTGGTCAAACCGAGAATGGACGGTTTAGCCATCTATGCCATTGCCGCTGGAGGTATCTTCGCTTGTCTCATCCTGGCCCGCACACTCTCTACCCTCGCCAAATGGTCGACTCTCTTTTCTGTACTATTTGCTTGACATCTGGCACTCCTTTTTATCATCCATAAACATCAGCTCATAGGACTTTGGACCTATGCCAGTGTTCTACTTCATATATCATATGCTATAATCAATGTCTTTCTGGTCTTTTTCAAGGCACACTCCCTAACTGGCACAGACTGTGAGGCAGGAGAACTAGCCCTAGTTAACCTGATCTTTCCTTTACCAGCCATCCATCTAAGTAATATGACAAACCTTCTAGATATCAGCTGGCACACTTCTCACAAGATCTACTATGCTACTAGCTTAATGGCTACTGCTCTGCTGGCCTTTTATATTATTACAGTAATTCAGGGCCACAGATTTAGCTTTTCTCTCAGTAAAATGCAAAATCAATACCTGCACATCGCATGTTAGCCGTGTACATTTAGTATGGCAGGTGCAGTCGATTGGCGAGGTCGCCGCCGCCCAGAGCCTGTTAAATAACCTTCTGGAAGACAATATCATGAATGAAGGCTATGTTCGTATTGGATCTTCCCACTGGACGCTTCTAATTGATAAGATTTAAGATTCTTAATATCTATATATATATAGAAAACGGCCTTGAGCAGAATAAACTGCCCTTTGATCAATATAAATAACTCTGTCTCTACTGGTTTACACAAGATTATGATAGTAATATCTCTTGAGAAGCATCGGGCGACAAAATCAAGAGGCTGCCTAACATTCAGAGGCAGCACGGTCAGACGTTGATAAAAGGTAAGATTCTCACCTTTCCCTGTGATCACGTGCTGACCTTTTTCCTAGTTTCCACAGCAGACGAGCTTCGAGACCAACTACAGGAGACGGTGAAAGCGTATGTTCATCGGGGTGTAAATCTTTCAGAATTAAAGTATCAGCCCAGTGCTGACTGGGAGTGCAGTGGAAGGCGCGTGATGAGCTAGTATGGAACGGTCGTTGCGGGGGAGGTTGAAAGATTGCCATGGAACAGTGTCGCGGGTGGACAGAGTTTCCTTACGTTGATCGGCGTACGGTTGCTGGATGAATAAAATACAGACCATGATGCCAGCCCCAGACTTTTGTTTGTATTTTTTTGGTTCTTGCTCTCTGTCTGCAGTAACCGATGACACGACATTTTGAGGGGAGATCATTTTCGGCGCGCACCTGCAGGTGGGGCTAATGTAAGTGCATTGAATCTGGTTCAGGTTCAGGCCATGATGGGAGGGAAAGAGAAGAAAAACAAAGAAGAAAATGAAAGAAGTGAAAGGAAAGAGGGGCTATTCCTGTGGTTTACGATACCACATTGGCTTGATTAGATTGCCCGCTTATTTAGTGAAAGGGGGGATGAATCGATTGGCCCTCCTTGGTACGGTTCGTTGAGGGCCGAACCTTGCTCACTAGGTACCCTACTTCCCCACCCCGCTTCCCCCAATAACAGAAGGGCCTCGATAAGTGAATTGTCTCCCAATGGACGTCCCGTCACGTCAGCACCCGCGGTGTTCTTATCAACCATTCAGTATCACTGTCCTCTGTAAGTTTATTCCTTGTCAAGCAGCAGATTCCACCGAAGCCCCGTAGGTCGGAAAGCAGAGCCACGATGCAGGCACCGACTGATAGATCGAGACTCCTCCACATTCTTTTAATAATGGGCTGGGTATCATATTGCCCAATGCCTTCTCGTGTGTTCTTAGCTCTCACTCAGAGCCAGTTAGCCTAATGCTGATTTGCATTTCGGTCTTCGTGTTTCTCGAAAGCCAAACATCCCAGCAAACGCAATGCCCGCGTTAGCGAGTCATAGGCCAAGAACCCTCTCACTCCAACACGGCTGCGATAGTCGCAACCAATCATTGTTTCTGTCCATCACACCTCAAGATACAGATGTGACATGTTCGAATATAGCTAATGCAATGTTACTGATGAATCAGATCTCCTTTGCTTTCTCATGAAAGCGAGATCATTTTATTATGCATACATTCTTCCTCAACAGTACCAAGGTCAGATATCTGGCCTGCACTGTTCATACCTAAACAATTTCTCCTTGGGCCCAGCATGCCTGGTTGACAGAAGCGTTCCGTTTGCCCTATTGCTTGTGAGCCCAGTGCAAGTGAGTGCCAAATCACTCAATACCTGGTAACAAAAAGCAAGTTCCTTGACGTCCATTGATGATGGTAGCCCTCACTGCTTTGCTTTTTCTGTCCGCATTGGGTAGGAGGGGTCGACGCACAACTTGCGGGGCGAGGACAATGGAGGAATTCCAGTTCAAACTTGAGTCCAAGATTGGCGTGACTCGATTAATGAGTCCATTCAAGTCAGCATAATGTTCGAACTTGCCCCACATTATTGACAGTTTTACCCCTACTTCCTCTCGTCGCTATACCTGTTCACTTTCCCTCTCCCGCAACTCGAAAAAAAAAAAAAAGAAAAGAAAAAAAAAGTAAAAAAAAGAAAAAAAAGAAAAGAAAAGAAAGAAAAAAAGAAAAGAAAAAAAAAGGCAACGGAGCAGCTGAGCTTCACTGCTTTTGGTGCCTTTCTCATTATCAGTCGTCTCTTGTGTTGGCCATTGGTCTGGTGCTGATAGCTGATAGCTGATTCATCGAGTAGGACTGCCAGAGCCGTGTTTATCAGTCTTGGGTTAGCCCAACTCAACTCAATCATCAGTACCAATTCCAGGCTCTTGAAGGGCCAAAAAGAAAAACTGTGCTTTCAGAGACCCTTCACCTTTCATTCCTCCGCCTATCCGGCAAGAGCTTCTTCTAGCAAACTCATTGTTGATACCGCCAAAATGGTCAAGTAAGTTTTTCTCGTGGCTTCCGTGTCTACCTTTCCTGACCGATCTCATCACCTTTCGACATCTCTTCTTGTGGCCGCTGGATTGTTGCTTCAGTACCCCTCCCGGAGATAAGGCAGTGGTACAATGGCGATTGTTGGTAAGGTGAACTGACAATGGCCCGTCAACAGCTTCACGATCGAAGGGATTCGGTCCTTGATGGGTAAGTCTAGTTACAGATAGGCAACAGCCAGATGAGATGCTTACTTGGTCGCAGACAGGCCCACAAATGTGCGCAACATGTCCGTCATTGCGCACGTCGACCACGGCAAGTCCACTCTGACTGACTATTTACTGGCCCGGGCCGGTATCATCTCTTCCGGCAAGGCCGGAAAAGCTCGAGCGACAGACACTCGATCAGATGAACAAGAACGTGGTATCACCATCAAGTCCACGGCTATCTCGCTCTACGGCACCCTGCCCGAAGAGGAGGACCTTAAGGACATTCCCGGTCAGGCGCCGGTCGGTAGGAAATCCCCGCACCCATCTTGGATAGCTGAACCTAAGGTAAATCAGGCAAGGACTTCCTCATCAACCTGATCGACTCCCCCGGCCACGTCGACTTCTCCTCTGAGGTCACTGCTGCCCTTCGTGTCACCGACGGAGCACTGGTTGTTGTCGACACTGTGGAAGGCGTGTGCGTGCAGACCGAGTCTGTGCTTCAACAGGCTCTCAGTGAGCGCATCAAGCCGGTCGTCATCATCAACAAAGTCGACCGTGCCCTCCTCGAGCTCCAGGTCTCCAAGGAGGACCTCTACCAGTCCTTCTCTCGCACCATCGAACATGTCAACGTCATCATCTCCCCCTACTTGGACGAGGCGCTAGGTGATGTTCAAATCTACCCCGAGAAGGGTAATGTTGCCTTCGGCTCCGGTCTCCACGGCTGGGCTTTCACCATCCGCCAATTCGCCGTCCGGTACGCCAAGAAATTTGGTGTTGATCGGAACAAGATGATGGCGCGCCTCTGGGTAGGTAGATTTGCTCCTTTGGATGCTTATAGTTCCCCCTAACAGGGTATAGGGCGACAACTACTTCAACCCGGCCACCAAGAAGTGGACGCACCAGAACCACACCCACGACGGCAAGCAGCTGGAGCGTGCCTTCAACCAGTTAATCCTGGACCCCATTTTCAAGATCTTTGCCGCCGTCATGAACTCCAAGAAAGATGAAATCAGCAACCTGCTAGAGAACCTCGACATCAAGCTCGCTACCCAGGATCAAGACAAGGAGGGCAAGCAGCTCCTCAAGGCCATTATGCGAACATTCTTGCCGGCCGCTGACTGCCTACTGGAAATGATTATCCTCCACCTCCCGTCCCCCGTCACTGCTCAAAAGTACCGTGTCGACACGCTTTACGAGGGTCCCCCTGATGATGAGGCTGCCACCAGCATCCGTAATTGCAACCCCAATGGGCCCCTCATGCTTTATGTCTCGAAAATGGTGCCGACTTCGGATAAGGATCGCTTTTACGCCTTCGGTCGTGTCTTCTCCGGTACCGTGCGCTCGGGTATCAAAGTCCGTATTCAGGGGCCTAATTACATCCCTGGCAAGAAGGAGGATTTGTTCATCAAGGCTATTCAGCACACTGTGCTTATGATGGGGCGTAAGGTCGTGCCTATTGATGACATGCCTGCGGGTAACATTGTTGGTGTTGTCGGTATTGACCAGTTCCTGCTTAAGTCCGGCACCATCAGCACCAGCGATACGGCCCACAATCTCAAGGTTATGAAGTTCTCCGTAATGCCTGTTGTGCAGCGGTCGGTCGCAGTCAAGAACGCCCACGATCTTCCTAAACTTGTAGAAGGTCTCAAGCGTCTGTCTAAGTCTGATCCCTGTGTCTTGACCATGACTAACAACTCTGGTGAATACATCATTGCCGGTACCGGTGAACTCCACCTTGAGATCTGCTTGAAGGATCTCGAGGAGGACCACGCTGGTGTCCCCCTAAACCTCTCGGACCCTGTTGTCCATCAGTACCGTGAGACTGTCTCTGCCCAGTCTAGCATAACTGCTCTCTCCAAGTCGCCCAACAAGCACAACCGTCTCTATATGGTTGCAGAACCAATGGTCAAGGAATTGAGTCAAACGATCGAGGCCGGCAATATCAGCCCTCGCGATGATTTCAAAGCTCGCGCCCGTATCCTTGCCGATGATTTTGGCTGGGATATCACGGATGCCCGCAAGATCTGGGCCTTTGGTCCCGACACCTATAGCGCCAATCTGCTTGTTGACCAGACTAAGGCTGTCCAGTATCTCCAGGAAATCAAGGACTCTGTGGTGTCCGGCTTCCAGTGGGCAACTCGCGAAGGTCCTGTTGCTGAGGAGCCTATGCGCTCAGTCCGGTTCAATATTCTCGACGTAACCCTGCACGCCGATGCTATTAACCGTAGCGGTGGTCAGATCATCCCTACGGCACGCCGTGTGCTGTACGCCGCTACTCTTCTTGCTGAGCCTGGTATCCTCGAGCCCATCTTCAACGTCGAGATCCAGGCTCCCGAGCAGGCTATGGGTGGTGTCTACGGTGTCCTCACCCGCCGTCGTGGTCAGGTCTACGCTGCGGAGCAGCGTCCTAATACCCCTCTGCTTAACGTTAAGGCTTACCTGCCTGTTGCCGAGTCCTTCGGTTTCAACGCCGATCTCCGCCAGGCCACCGGTGGTCAGGCCTTCGCTCAGTCCGTCTTCGACCACTGGGAAGATCTTCCTGGTGGCTCTCCTCTTGACCCTACCACCAAGCTTGGTCAGATCGTGGCTGAGATGCGTAAGCGCAAGGGTCTCAAGGTCGAGGTCCCAGGCGTCGAAAATGTAAGTGGTGTCTTTAGTGTCTTGCAAGGACCTGGCTGCTAACAGAGCGTCTAGTACTACGACAAGCTATAAACAGCACCTGACGATTGGCGTGGGATTTTTTGCTTCATGGACTGGTTGTCTTATGAGCTCGTCGTCGTCGTTACAAAAAGATGAGTTGTTCCCGGGGGGTGACGGATCCCAAAGCATGGAAGAGAAGCAAAACAGGAGGCCGGTTGGTGCGCAAAAGCCATGCGCATCTATAGAGTCGATGGCACCAAAGTTCCCTTGACACGTTGCTCCCACCCTTTTTGTAGTAATGTAGAAATGAATTATTGCCAAGTATGTGCGGATGGTACGAATGGTGCTGGCCTCTGAACGGTGCTGCCCCGAGGCATGCTTCCTCTGCTCAGGGCCAATCATCCCCCAGAGCCAATAATCCCGGGGCCAAAATCCGTGCATGCCTTAGATCATAGGTACTCGGCCCAGTGTGGACCCTCAGCTAGACAGCTAGATAATTGTTATTCATTTATAATACATCTTATCAAATTAAATAATATATTTATCTAATATATTACAGGTGTAGAACCCTGTAAAAAATCTTGTTAAACTACTAGATTAAAAAGTTTTTTGTTTTCTATAATACTTTGAGAATAATCCTATTGGCTACCCCTCCTTAGTATTCTAGATATAATACTTTAAAATATAAGAGAATATTTATTTAAGGAATATTTACAGTTATATGTAATATCTCTGTGTATATTTCTTTATTTCGCGCCTCAACATAGAATCCCATGATGCAAGTCCACATCGAAGCAGAGATTGCAAGATCACATACATGGTTTGCCAAGAATTGCAGGAGTCATTCAACAGAGGCGAGTGGCATGATGTTCGATGCCGTCCCCGAGGATCAGGTCAGCTGTACAAATGTATCGAGCCATAAGAGCAGGCCTTCCTCATTATAAGCTTACATCTTGGCAGCAGAATTAGCTTTCGGAGTAAACAATAAGCTAACCTGTGTAACATCCTAAAGGTGTGCAGTTGCTCAGGGCTCCTGCAATGGACAATGCTTTGCTGAATTATTCATACCGAACCCATTCATTCATCACATATAATATCCAGCGCGGATATGGGAATTAGCACGACTTGGATGTTTCGTTTTCCTTCGCACAACATAGCCCTGCGATATGAAAGGACCCTGTGGCCTGGGAATACAGCTGTAAAGGCTTTGTCGCCCTACCTTCGGAGGTCGTGAACAACGTCGACTGCCGTGTCCTCCGCTTGTTGCACAAGCCTAGAATGCGGGGAGGATGACTGGGAAATTGTAACAACCCCACACTTTGGACCGACAATTTAACCTTCCCCCATCTTGGCGCTGGTGGTTCCTGCGCCGAGGAGGGCTTATTGCATGAGCTGAAGTAGTAAGCTTGACTTTTAAGGAACACAGAGGGGAGCCTCGGATACCCTCCGAATGGAACCGAGCCAGTACACCCTCCGAGACATCAAGTTTTCATTGACATTTAGTAGTACAGTGGTAGTCATGCGATGGAAGGAAACAAAACTTCGATTGAGACCTAACGAGGAGCTTAAATAGACCTGGCTTCCCCCAGAAGGCATCATTCTCGAGCTCGATCACGACAGGACCCACTATCAAATTGACAACCCAATAATTGAGCTTTATTATGCATGTACAGCTTTGATTTATATTGTGAGAATGCTAAAAAATGCTAACAAACCAATCAGCATCATCATGAGATTCACTCTGCTCGCATCCATGGTCCTCCTGAGTCTTGCCCTTGCTGCTGCAACGGAGTCCAGCACCGACGACGTTGGCAGCACCAAGGTTACCGATGGCACTCTCGATGTATGAGCCATAACCCAGAATCTGGTCTGCATGGCTGATTCTCGTTACCTCAACAGGTAAACTACTGTGGCGAACGGTGCGAATACGACTGGGAATGTCGTCGCGGAAATCGCTGCCACGAGTGCCGCAAAGAGCACCACGAGGTGAGTGTACCTGCTTCACTACTAGATCACCTACTGATTGTGGTTACTAGCGCTATGGCCGCTGCCGCGAGCGATATGACTGAGCTTATCCTCGACTCAGCCTGGCAAGGTGAGGTATGTAGAAGGAAGCACGGTGGTCAGAATGGAAGTTAAACTTAAGCCGTTAGTATCAGATACGGAATGGAAGATGTTGTTGCGGTAAAGTGAGTGCAAACTCGTAGTCGGTACTTTTCAATGCCAGTAAACTGTCAGTAGAATGTACAGTGGTATATACCGACACGGCAGGTACCAGCAGATATGTTGTGATGCCATAGGGACAGTATACTACTTGCCGCTCGATTCATCAACGGATTACTAATGCATCGCTGTCGAGTTGACGTTACAGTGAAGCATGTTGGCTTATTCTGAATGATGAGCTGTTACACTGGATGAATTTACTGTATGTCTCAGAGTGAATCCAGTTTATAGCGCGTACAACGTTAGACAACAGATGAAGCGTATGACTGCTTCCACGCAGCAGGAGATCCGACTGCAACAGAAGGAATACACAATGCATAGGCCGCATTCGAGTGGACTTTGAGTATGGCAGAAATGTACCTGGGAGTATACATTGAATTATGGTGAGATGTACCATCTCACAGGATCGGATTCGTAAGGTGAATGGGCACAGGTGCGGATCACTTAACTGTCTGTTGTCGGGACTGAATCTGACGATTTAGAGGAAGAGTCCTGTTTACATTGTGGATAGATAAAGGTACTTAGTCTACTAATACCTGGCCACGAGGATCTAGACTGTACAAAACCTGAAAGCCACGCTTAGCCAACGCATCCATTCAAGATGCATAGGACCAGTTCTTGGAGGCGTCTGACGGGTGAAATGTTGGGTGTGACTGGTCGATGTGATACGGAATTATTCCGGCATCGGATATCACCTCAACGTAGCCGAGGTAGCGCATGTATAAAGAGCATCAAGTGGACTCTTTTATCAGTCATAGCAAACCTACCTATTATCCACCATGCGAGTCTATTCGTCGGTCGACTCCAGCAACGCCCTCGCCTTCCACAACGGTCGCGTATATACCATCAACAGCGATCAACCTTGGGCCGAGGCATTTATTGTATCCCCGACGGGGGTCATCGAGCACATTGGCAGGAATGCAACCATCTTGGAGATCGCCTCGGCTCGCGGCCTCATTCAATATGACCTCCGCCAGCGCTTCGTCATGCCGGGCATCCACGACGCCCATACCCACCTTCTCGTCGCCGGCCTGCAAGGGCTGAACGAAGCCCGCATCGGCTTCGACTCGACGCCCGACAACCTCACATCTCGACTCGCTAAAGGTTCCTGCGCATGCGCCTACGCCAATGTTACCGGGGACTGGCTCATTGGAAACTTCTACCAGGCCAGCCATTTCCCGAACGGCGTGCCCGATCGCAAATACCTAGATGATCACTACCCCGATCAGCCCGTGCTCATCCGCGAAGTCTCCTGTCATCGAATCTTGCTAAACACGGCTGGGCTTATCCGTGCTGGAATTGATCCTAATGGCGCCCCGGATCCAGATGGCGGGTACTACGTCCGCCGAAAAGATGGAACAACCCTCACGGGGGAAGTAGTCGAGAACGCCATGACGACCGTGTTTGACTGTCTACCTATCCCGCCGTTGGCGCATGTCAAACGCGCGATCTACCATGCGATGTCTATATGCCACAAATATGGAATCACGTCCTGCCAGGAAGCGTCGGCGAATACCCTCTACTTACATGCAGTGCGAGAACTGGAACTGGAGAACCGGCTGGATCTGGATATCCATACGCACATCGTGTCAGCGCCGGTGTATTTTGCCATGGAGCCGCAGGATAGTTTAGCCGGATTGATTGATGTGGCAGAGGGATTCAGAAGCCGACATGTGCATACTCAATTTGTAAAGTTCTGGCTGGATGGGGCTCCACTGCCTCCGGAATTCACGCAGGCGGATCTGGATGCGAATGGACAGCCAATTCCGACGCATTTGGCGCTGGATAAAGACTTCCTGTACAAGGCCGTGAAAAAATATGATGGCCGGGGCATGACGTGTAAACTGCATGTCGCCGGTGAGGGATCTGCTCGACTGGCGCTGGATGTCATCGCCAAGGTCCGGGAAGGAAATCCGGCTGGTCCCAAACACGAGCTTGCTCATTGTAATGCGGTGCACAAGGGTAAGTCCATTTCCGTTTGCGGAATCGCCGCGCGTACTGATAAGGTATCAGATGATATTGCGCGGTTTGCTCCGTTGAAAGTGACAGCGGAAATGTCACCCGCCATCTTCCATCACGATGTTGTGGAAGAGTATCCCGAGCTCAACAAATGGGCATTCAACGGGGTGCTCGCGTCGGGCGCACTCATGACCATTGGCTCGGACTGGATGCTCCCCGAGACGCCATCATTATTTGATGCCCTAGCTGCGATCGTTGAACGCGTCCGATACAAACCTGGAGGGAGATGCCGGCGTCTCGAGTTGGGGGAGACGGCGATGCAACGCGGAGGAGAGATCCTCTGCCGCGTTTTGACGCTCAGCGGAGCAGAGGCTGTTGGGGCGCAACATCGCACTGGGAGTTTGGAAGTGGGCAAGATGGCCAATTTTATTATCGTCGATCGGGATTTGAGCCAGGGGAATTTCAAGGGTGCAAACGTGCTGGAGACTTGGTTTGAGGGAAGGAAAGTGTATCAGGCGTAAGGCTGACGAAAATTGTACGTCCTGCCAAGCAGTAAGTAGGGATGGTTACATTGTTGAATGAAATCATTGTTGAGCACAGGCCGCGTACAAGCCATTCTGCTGTTGCTGCCTGTTCCAAATCCCTACGTTAATCTAGTCTATATAGTCAGGGTCCCCGCACTAACACAACTACCCGAACCGGGCTGAACCTCAACATCTTTCATAATCTTACCGTTAGCCTTCACAGCCATGTCGAATAATACCCATAATTTCCACCTGCTCGAGTTCGTCGCGCAAAAGCGCTTTCACCAGCGGATAGTTCTGCCTGCTACTGCACACCATGGGCGGCTTGCGGTTACCTATGCAGACATTGGACCCCGGACAACGAAGGATGGCTCACCCACCCCGACTATGCTGCTAATTCAGGGAATGGCAGGATCCCGGCTATGGTGCTGCCAGAAAGACCATCTCGCTAACAAACTGGAGGTCAGAATGATCTCCATCGACCGGTATTCTTTGTCACTCTCTCTTTCTTCATGGTTGAAAGCTGACATTTTAGACCCGGCATTGGCGGTTCAACTCCCGTTCCTCCTGGACAACGAGTCCAAGTATGGCTGGAGACAGTGTCAGCGGTGTTGGAACATCTATCCATTAAGCACGTCGTCCCTATATCTCACAGTGCCGGCACTATCTACATCTTGAATTTGTTAATGCATCGACGCGACCTGCTGTGCCCGAAAAGGCCAATGGCAGTACTAATGGGTTCGCTTATCTTTCGCTATCGATTAAACTCACAGCAGGCTAACATTTGCAGCGCCGTGGGTGGAGCCCAAACACTCGGAAATTCTCTCCTTACAAATGGCGAGGATGATCCCTACTGGCGTTCTGAAGCAATGGAACAAGGTGATGAAATTCGTGGTCACCAAAGCGGTCCCTTCGCTCAGCTCGAGTGTGGACGTTCTCGCCTCGATGGGCGGCAGTATCCCCCGTGCGTCCAAAGAAGACATTGAGCACCGTGAACCAAATCTTACCGCAGATGAGATGGACCCACGGACCGCCGAGGAGTTGGGAAACTTATGCATCGAGTATATCTTCCTGGAGGATACCACAGGAATGAACGATGAGACTGTTGTCTGCCTGAAGAAGTCAACCGGGTTGTGGGGAGTCTGCGAAGATCTCCCGGTTTATATCCGCTGGCTGGTGCGGGCAGAACTGATGCACCAACAAGGCCACCCGGAGGAAAAGCAGCCTTTGCAGATCAGGGCTATTTTCGCAGAGAAGGATGGGATGATTGGACCCAAGGGACAAAAATACTTCGAGGACTGCTTCACCAGATCCGATCTCAACGGTGTGGTCTCGTTTGATTCAGTCATGGAGAAAGGGACGGGACATGACACGCTCTGGGGCTTGGACACGGCATTCTTGAAAATGCTGAGAGATATCAAAGATACGCTCTCTCAGTAGGTTTGCCCTTGGCTCTTTCTGTGTGCTGGTGTCCATTGCATGGGGTTTCCTCGAAACAGCAGGGCTCCGCATCCGAATATCCGAGAATGGCCCATTTGTCAGCAAATCCCCAAGCCGAAAATGTCACCATCGGAGGGTCAATTATTAATTCAATTCAACCTCACGGACGCGCTGGGTATAAAACCCACCTTGCCATTGTTCATCATGTCTCCTTCGCTACAGCAATTGCATCTCGCTCCCTTCCTCCATACCCCTCCATCGCCATGGGTTCTGTCCACCAAGCCCCCCGTGTGATTCCCTCCACGGAGACTCCCTACTTTACCCCCGCCAACAATGGCGGCGAAGCCCTCAACCCCGCCGACCCCAACACTCCCACGCTCTTCCGCCCCTTGAAGATTCGCGATGTGACCCTCAAGAACCGCGTCGTCGTCTCGCCTATGTGCATGTACTCCGCCGAAAGCGATACCTCCTCTCCCTTCGTTGGCGCCCTCACAGATTACCACATTGCCCACCTGGGCCAATTCGCTCTGAAAGGCGCCGGTCTCGTCTTCGTCGAAGCCCAGGCTGTCCAGCCCAACGGGCGCATTTCCCCCAACGATGCGGGCCTGTGGGAACATTCCCCCGAATCGGAACAATTCAAGAGTCTGCAGCGCGTGGTGCGGTTCTGTCACAGCCAGGGTGCCAAGGTAGCCGTCCAGCTCGCCCACGCCGGTCGCAAGGCGAGTGTGCTCCCTCCGTGGGTGGCCGTGCAGGCCAAGAAGCCCTGCGTCAAGGCGGACGAGAGCACGGGTGGATTCCCGTCCGAGGTGGTCGGGCCCAGCGGTGGTGCGGACCAGGCCTGGGATGGAACTGGCGAGGGATACTGGGCGCCTCGGGCCTTGACGATCGAGGAGATCAAGGAGATAGTGCAGGCCTTCGCCAAGAGTGCGGCGACGGCCATCCGGGCTGGTGTTGACGTGATTGAGGTCCACGCCGCTCACGGATACCTGATCAACCAGTTCTTGAGCCCGGTGACCAACAACCGGACGGACGAGTATGGAGGCAGCTTCGAGAATCGCACGCGCATTCTCCGGGAAACCATTACGGCCATTCGGGCGGCCGTCCCCAGCAGTACTCCGTTGTTCTTGCGGATCAGTGCGACGGAATGGCTGCACGGACAAGATGTTGCGGCGGAATCAGGCAGCTGGAACATGGAGAGCTCGCTCAAGCTTCTGCCTTTGCTTCCGGAGCTCGGAGTCGACCTCTTGGATGTCAGCTCCGGGGGTAACCACCATAGCCAGAAGATCAATATCCACACCAACTACCACATCGATCTGGCCGCACAGGTGCGTAAAGCCATCCATGCGACCGGCGCGAAGACGCTGGTGGGTGCGGTCGGGTTCATCACTGAGGCCGACCAGGCCCGGGGACTCGTGGAAGGCGCCGACGAGGCGCATGCTGCCAATGCGACGGTATCTGGACCGGAGCCCGTGGCAGATCTGGTGTTGATGGCGCGGCAGTTCATGCGTGAACCAGAGTGGGTGATGAACGCGGCGAAGAAGCTGGGGGCGAAGGTGGAGGTGCCGGTGCAGTTCTGGCGGGCTGGACTAGTTTAAACCATTGAGCGATCTAGATATAAGATTATAGACCCATCTAATCCACTATTGCAATAAGAGCGATTTAGATGCTATAAGAAATTCACTAGCGATAATCTCAATTGCCGAGCCGACCCGAGCAAGACGGCGGCATACGGAGACCTCCGAGCAGTGCAGGATCAGAGCTACTTACTGCTTCGGGGATGGCATCGCGCAATCAGAACCTTGGGGGGCGCCACCGACTAATGGATAGCTAGTACTTAGTGAGTACTTAGTTGCAGCTGTAGCTACTTATTAATATGGATGATTACTGCCGCCCACCCTTCTTTCACTACCCCGCAGTTTCGTCTCTACAACACCAACAATTTCCCTCCCTTGATTCCTCTTCATTCTCTCCGCTCCTCTTCCACCCGCCCTATTAAACATGGCTCTCAAACCCGGCGATTCCTTTCCCTCGGACGTTATCTTCCAGTGCGTTCTCCAGTACACTAGTAACTATATAATATCTAACGAACAGCCAGGTACATCCCCTGGAGCGAAGAAAAGGGCGACATCACCGCTTGCGGTATCCCCATCAACTACAACGCCTCGAAAGAATGGGCTGATAAGAAGGTCGTCCTGTTCTCTGTTCCTGGTTTGTTCCCATCTCAAATTCAAATAAACTTCCGACCAACAGAACATCATAATAGGCGCCTTCACCCCCACCTGCTCCATCAACCATGTCCCCGGCTACATCCAGAACCTTCCTCAGTTGAAGGAGAAGGGTGTGCAGGTTGTCGCAGTGATCGCCTCCAACGATCCTTTTGTCATGAGCGCCTGGGGAAAGGCGAACAACGTTAAGAACGATGATATTGTGAGTCCCTCCCCTCGAAATCATTTTCCTTGCTCCAGTGCTCACGATGCTTCGATGGTAGCTTTTCCTGACTGATCCCGATGCCCGCTTCGCCAACACCCTTGGCTGGGCCAACGCTGGTCGTACCGGGCGCTTCGCCATTGTCATTGACCATGGCAAGGTGACCTATGCGCAGATTGAGACGGAGAAGGGTGCTGTTAAGGTATGTTCCACCATTGTGTATCCGCCTTCTCAGGAGTTGGGGAATGTATACTGACGAATGTAGGTCTCGGGCGCTGATGCTATCCTGGCGAATCTGTGAATGTTGAGCGTTCACTAGATGGAATGCAGTAGAAACAGTCTCATTTGCATAATGCATGTAGCTGCAGCATATGGATAGTACTAAAGAAGTGAATGTCCGAGGTCGAATCAAGTACAAACAAGTAGGTGGTATATATTTGATCCACATAGATTGATTAGAGAGTGCTATCACGTCACACTTGCACTTGAGTGATTTTTAAACCTCCATGCCGATACACATCAGTAGGATGTAGTACTAATCTCCTGCTACAACACAGTAAGGGTCACTCCGTATCGAGGCTCTGATCAGCGAGCCAGTCCCACAGCTCATCACACTATAGCGGTCAACCGGACGAATGGAGAGACGGTTAACCAGGTCCTCACACTAAAATGCTGACAGGATTATCAATCAGAGCCGGACATAAGCATATTGTCTCCGCAGCCACTAACAGCCCTGAAATGCTTAACCATAACCCATTTTGAAGCAATAGAAACCACCAGACCAAGATCGAAGCCAGCTGAATAATGAACCCTGCAGGGATCGATGCCTGACGCTAGTCCCGTCTAGGGCAAGTCTCCTGTGGCCCCACGACATTGAGTGACTAATCAGCTGTCACCCCACCAGAGCTATGCCTGTTTGATGTCATAATGTTCAACTCCCCCAGCCAGAACCCCGCCAGGCTTTTAAATTTAAATACATTGTGCTCCCATCTCCTATAATGCAGAGTAGAAAGCAAACCTCATTTTCTCAATTGCTATTCAATTAAGTCAACCAAAAATAACTGTTCATCCAAAATGGCCCCTAAAGTCCTCGTCGTCCTCACCTCCCACGACCACCACAATGCCAACAACAACCCCACCGGTTGGTTCTTGGTGAGCCCTACCCTCAATTCCTCTCTGTCAAACCTCCACATCCCTAACAAAGAATCATAATGTAGCCCGAATTCGCCCACCCCTGGGACGTCCTCCACTCCAAAGCCGAGCTGGTAATCGCCTCCCCAGCCGGCGGCAAAGCCCCACTGGACCCGGGCTCCATTGAAATGTTCAAGGAGGACCCCGTGTCCCAGAAATTCCTCAAGGAGCAGGAATCCCTCTGGACCAATACCGTCAAGCTGTCGGATGTTGTGTCGAGGGTTTCTGAATTTGATGCCATCTTCTACGTTGGCGGTCATGGACGTATGCATCCCATACCTTACCCATCTATACTCAATGTAATGCTAAAAATTATCTCTGCGATATAGCCATGTACGACCTCTACAGCGACAAGACCTCCCTGGCCCTGATTCAAGCCTTCGCCGTGGCCAAGAAGCCCGTCGCGGCGGTTTGTCATGGTCCTGCGGTGCTAGTCAACGCTACGACGCCCTCCGGAACGGCGTTGTTGAAGGGTGCGGAGGTGACTGGTTTCTCCAATACCGAGGAGGATCAGGTGCAGCTGAGTTCGATTATGCCATTTATGTTGGAGGATGAGTTGAAGAGGGTGGGTGCTACCTATGTCAAGGCTGAGCAGCCGTGGGGGGAGAAGGTGGTGGTGTCGCAGGTTGCTGAGTTGGGAGGAGCGGTCATTACGGGTCAGAACCCGGCGAGTGCGACTGGGGTTGGAAAGGCTATTTTGACGGCTTTGGGGTTGTAAGTTGATTTTGTGTGGTGATGGGGTTGTTACGAGATATTGTCATTTCGGTACGATGAGAATGATATATGCTACCTTGTTTTATCTATTCAAAATTGTCTATTCAAAATTGTGGTTAAGAAAATTTATTGCGTCTGAGAAATCTAATCTCATCTGAAGTTGCATCAACGGATTGCACTCCGGAACGCCCAGACCACATTGCATAGGTCATGGAAATACCCAAACCCCGGATTCAAGCACAACAATAGCACTTTTCAACCTTGCTTGACAAATTGCTCCTGAACCTCCAAACTATGCTTCGCAAACCGACTCTTCGCCCGGATCCGCTCCCCATACAACAAAAACAACAACGGCACACTGCAGAACACCGTTGCCAACGCTGCCAACAACGAAGCCGCAACATTCGCTCCCAGCCCATCAAACATCTGCCGCGTAAACAATGGGAAAGCCCCCGACATCCCGGCTCGGACCAACTGCACCGCCGCCGTGCCACTAGCCGAATAGCTCAGATAGCTATCAGCTAGATATCCATATAACACGGTGTCGAATTCATTCAATGCGTATCCAATTAACACGAGAGATACCGTAGGTACCATCCAATGGATATCCTCTGCCCTCGGAGGAATGGTCCATGCAAACCACCACAGCCCAATCGCAAAAGCAGGGGCGCCGATGGCCAGCCCGGTCAGTTTATCTTCTGGTTTGACGGGTTGAGAGGCTGCGTGTTTGGCGTCTATGATTCGAAAGTCGATAATGCGAGTAAAAGTGCTGAAACAAACACCAACACCTACGGCGAGGAAAGGCAAAGCGGCAGCTGATGGTGTAAAGTTCATGGACTCGTAGATGGGCTGGAGAGCCTCGGTGAAGATATAGACCAAGGCGAAGGAGAAGGCGATCATCATGGCCATGGTAAATATGAGAAGCTCACCGAAGAAGAGCTGTAGCGGTCGGAACAGCGAGGCTTTGACAAAGGTGCGGAGGTCAGGGGAGTGGTCGTGGGTCAGAGGCTGTAGGCTGTCGTGGCCCGTTTCGTGGCGGATGCGTGAGACCTCTTGGGCCAGGAGCAGGGCAGGACGTGATTCCCGGATGAGGAGGAAGAAAGCGCTCATGACAGCGAGCATAATCGTGTATATGTAAAATACCCAGCGCCTACAGAATCAGAACCAACTTTGGATAGCCATATCAGGAGACATACCAATGTAGATTTTCAACAACAAGGATGCTGATAATTGGGCCGATTAGGAGACCGACGTTCGAGGCAATGGTCCAGAGAAAGGTGGTCCAGATACGAGATCGCGAGTTGAACATGTCCTCATTGCTGCCGCTGCCAACAGTGTATGGGATAGCACTCAAGAACCCTCCGACAATGCGACAGATGACCACGGCGACCAAAGAATGAACGACCCCGATAATCAGGCAACATAACGCACTACCGGTGCTGCTGATAAAATATAGCTTTTTGCGTCCAAAGCACTCGGACCACGGAGGGAAGACAATCGCGCCAACAACCTGCCCCATGAGGAATCTGTATGGTCAGTCGGGTACGGTTAGAAGTCCGGAAGAACGTACAATGTCACGAAGCAGAATGTGCACAGGGTATTTCCAATATGGTATTCATTTTGAGCCTCTGAAGCCGCCGATGTCTATGTCCATTAGAAATGCCACGCTGTCGGATGAGAAACATACACCAGCAGTACTCGTAGCGGTTCTGCGTTTGTTAGCAGTGTACCAACATCGAGATGTAAATACATACACAAAGAGATCCAGCAGAAAGATCAACCCAATATCATACACCTTGCGTGTTGCACTCCAGTTGCGGGGATGCTTCTTGTTGCCCTTTGCCCAGCGGACATATTGTCCATCGGGCGTGAACTCCAGGTCATTCTTCAGCAGATATTCGTCCATGTCCTGAGTCTGACCGACGTGCTTTGCTTTCGATGGGATTCCTGTGATATCTTCTTCGTCTGCCGATTTATAGTCACAGGGGACTATATGTAGTTCGTTCATGATTGGGGCCATGTCTACAGGACATATCTCAAAGTAGATCGACTGTGGTTTCAGTCGATCATCCCTGTAAGGTGAATCTCCCCTGGTCCGCGACAGGTAATACTTAGATAGTGCATAGCACGCGTCAGGCACTGAATCTGGTAGAGGATCATCGTGCATTGAGTTACTTTGCATGTCCGCCAGAGAGCTTATGTGGATAAACTTGTGTCCACCCTACCAATCAAGGGGTGCGCCATGATCTGGAGATATGTGCAGGTGATGACCCAGCACGCAAAAAGATGCTGAACTGGAGGTTTTGAGCACTGCTGGGGGCACGCGGGGTTTATGGAAATGTATCTTCCGAAAAGCACGAGTACTCATTGGACGGCGCCGTGGTCAGGCAAGGAACTCTCTATAAGACCAGGAAGGTCGATGGGAGCCAGTCCAAGGTAACAGGTGTATAGCGAGGAATGCGTGCGCAGCATTCCAATTAGCTGATAGGGATCGATTCATATTCTACGTGGCCAGTGCAGTGGAACGGATGCAAGGGACAGCCAGATGACGAGTGATCTGCAGAAGGCATTCCGTACCAGTGTATTGCGGAAATTCTGGAGACAGCAACGGTACTTTATGCGCTTGGGAAAATCCCCCGGAGCTTTTGTGTACTTCATCGGCTGCCTGATATACCCGGTGCGTCTGCCTGTTTCAAAGTGTGGCAAGAACAAATTAGCATCAGCTGGTGGTGCCGTCAGCTTAGTGGCTGGTGACAGCTGGGATAGTAAAACTGCAGATCAAGAGGCGGAAGGTTCAATATAATCTTCAAGGTGGTTTCAGTTCCCCTGCTGCTTGTCGTGGAGATGGATGCGTCACAGATGTCCCTCGCAGGCAATCAATGTGGAGTAGACGCATAATCTTGATGCCCCAGCTCTTGAAATTGGAGTATAGTAAGGTCATGGAGAGCAAGTGAGCCATTGCCAGCAACAAGAGCTAGGGGTATAAGTGCAATAACCTGTTCAAAATACTTGTGCAGCTTAATCTGTAGATTCCAAATGCAGGAGAGCACACCTCTACAGGATTGTCGTCTCCTAGGGAGCGTGGGAGGTTGTATTGCAGGCCATAAGTGGGTATATACGTTGGACGACCGTCATCGATGGGGAAATAGCATTGGCTCAACCGGAGTAGTGGATGTATGGAGTAGCAACCACGCGAGCGACACCCTGTCCAAGGAAGTCCCATTAACAAAAACTGACCCTGTGGAATGTTGATGACATCCCAACGGGGCAACTGGCCGGGGCTGGTTCAACACCCCACATCAGGCAAGCCTGAGGGCGATCTTCCCCTGAGTTCACCGCCTGCCCTACCCCCCGCCAGTTCTGCCGGACCCCGCAGAAGCAGCTGCTGCAGGACATGCCCTCAACTCGACAGTCAACACCCTTCTTATTAGCCGTTCTCCATTATCAGTTACCACTTCTCTCACCGACAGCATGCCCCCTCACGAAGGACTGGTCCACCCCAAAGAATACGATATCAAGGACAGCAATGTGGAACTAATCGGTTCCGACCTTGACCACCGTGTCAAGTACAACTCCGCCGCTACCGAGCCCGCTTGGAACAACGGATCTATCGGCCAGGAGCCGGGTTTGTTCGTGTGGAGGATCGAGAACTTCGAGGTTATACCATGGCCCAAGGAGCGGACGGGAGAGTTCTACAACGGAGACAGCTACATCGTGCTGCACTCGTACAAGGTGGGGGACAAGCTGGGTCATGACATCTTCTTCTGGCTGGGCAGTAAGACCACCCAGGATGAAGCCGGTACAGCCGCTTACAAGACGGTCGAGCTGGATGAATTCCTGCATGGCACCGCGACGCAGCATCGCGAGATTGAACAGGAGCCATCCGAGGAATTCTTGGGACTGTTCCGGCACATCTCCATCCGGTCGGGCGGCGTGCGGTCTGGATTCCACCACGTCGAGCCTGAAGCACCCAAGGAGATTCTCACCTTGCTTCGTGTGTTCAAGCATCCTTCTGTAGGTCGCTCGATTATCGTGCACGAGGTGGAGCCCACCTGGGAAAGCCTCGACGAGAATGATGTGTTCGTGCTGGACAAGGGCGATAAGATCTGGGTCTGGCAGGGCAAGAACTGCAGCCCCATGGAAAAGGCCAAGGCTGCGCAGGTGGTCAATGACATGACTCTTGCTAAGCATATTGATGTTGAGGTTCTGTCGCAGCTCGAGTCGCGCTCCAGGGTCATTGTGGACTTGCTGGGAGGCAAGGAGGCCGACCCATCCACATTCCAGGCTCCGCGACCGGGGCGTTTCGCCCAACGCACGGACGAGGGCGGTGATGTGCGGTCACGCAAGCTCTTTAGACTGAGCGATTCGTCCGGCACACTCACTTTCGACCTGGTCAAAGATGGCCAGCGTGTGAGCAAGTCCGACTTGGTTGGAAACGACATCTTTCTCTACGATGTTGGCAGTCGGCTGTGGGTCTGGCAAGGCTCCGAGGCCAGCCAGCGTGAGAAAGCGTTGTGGCTCAAGGTTGCCCAACACTACGTCCGTCAGCTGCAGAACCAGCTCCCAGAGGCGCACTACATCCCGATCGCCAAGGTCGTGGAGGGCTACGAGAGCCCGGCATTCATGAGAGCCATCGAGGCCTAGGTATGTGCTTAGGCCATATTTGTGTAATATATATGTGTGTGAAACAAGCATCGATGACCCCAGCACAGTTACTGGAGCGGCAGGTTCCACACAGTCACAGTCCATCGTCTAGGGTAGTATATACCATCAAAGGTCCAGTACCTTGGATCTATCGAAAATGATTCATTGAACATCAGTCAGAGAAATGTAAAGCAAGTTATGTGTATCGTGATCTAATCGCAGCGGATTGTCGGTTGCCCCGATGATAACTCGATGGCAATGAACTAAAACCTGCTTTCTTCTCTTTCACACGAAGCATGTCTATGCAGCTTCGACACGTCCATAATATCCGAAATCCAAACAGCTGACTCCAAACTCCAAATTGCGCCCGCCAGAAAGCCCCGTTCATATATCCTCGTATCTCTCAACACCATTCCAGCCCTACGTTTAGATATTAGCACATACCAATTAAGAGATCACCAGCCGACATACCTTATCTTCAAAAACTACCATCTCCCTCTTCCTCCCCCACCAAATCCCCCCCTCCCACCAGGCGGTCCAAAGCCACCCCCTCTTCGACCACCAAAGCCACCGCCAGGAGGACCGTGGGGTCGTCCGTAGGAATGCATCGGCATGCCCCCTCCACCACCGTAGTGCGGGCGCGGGGGAGGGTAGCCGTAGCCACCGCCCATGCCCATACTGGGGTATCTCCGCCGGTTGCGGCCCATGAGGGACATGCAGAGGCCCATTGTAGTATTCTTCTGGATTTATTCGTACGATGCAAGGATTGTAATGATATCAAGAATATGGCTCAGAATGATTGAAAAGGTATTGTGTCTGTCAGACTGTCTGTTGAAGTGAAAGGGCCCTGGTGTCGAAGTAGGTAGGGCAAGGGATAAATACAGGCGTCGTCAGTCATGGCGTCATCCAAGAGCCGTGACGTAGTACTGCCCCTTCTCCGACTACAACCTTAACTTTGCAACCCCAAGGAACAAAGATAAATTTGTGTATTATCTTCTCCGAGTAAATCTCTTGGCTGTCGTAATTCATTCATTTCGCCATGGAGATGGGGAAATTGATAACCTGGCGGATATGAGAGGAGCGGCCAGGGGAATCATGGATGTTCTGATGAAACATAGACATGGGCCTGGTGGGAGTCTCTCTGAGCCGGTGGTAGATACCCTGGGGTCAAATCAGGTACCCAATCTGTCTTAATCTATCCTATAAGAGTCTCCAATCCATTATCGATCATCACGTCGATCCAATGCACATGCAATAAACTACTCAACAACAATAATCGATCCTCCCGAGCCCAGTTTTCTCTCACAATCCTACATGCCCGCCGCAATGTATCTAACCCTATATAAGTCGCCAACTTGTCGAGTCTAGAATCGACAAATAACTGCCAGAACTGTATATCAAATTGTCCACCTGTACGAGATGATCCCGGTGCACCTTCAGTGGATACTTCCATATCGATATTCATGTCTTCAATCCGCTGAACCTGAAGCGTACTTCCCGCCATCACAAGAACCGGCATATGACTTGCCCTCGTTCCAGTTGTTTCAGGTATCTTGGCGATCAGCGTGAGTATCGTTATGGCCAGCGTACTCAGATGTTGTTTTTGAGTGTCGTGATCCAACTCCCCTTGGTCCCGGCGCAGCAACTCGGGAAATGCTCGACACAGCTCGAGCATAATCGATAGTTCACAGGATCTTGCTAGGAATCGGAAATGGAGGACTGGAGTAGATTGATCACCTGTACTTTGGAACTGATCCTGACGGGGAAATCTGTATTGGCCTATCAACTCTTCTAGATGCTTGCCTTGTGATAGAAGTTCGTGTCGGTCTTTTTGTGTCAGTTGCGGGGAAGCTGTTGCCCGCCGTAGATGGTGCGCTTGTCGCGCGAGGGAGCCGATTCTGGACAGATAGATGAAGAGTTGGGAGACATCCCGCTCCACGTCGTCGCGGAAGGGTAGGAGGTAGTCTGTCGTGTCTGTGCTGTTGTCCACGACAAAAGACATCAAGGCTTCCCAGTAAGCTAAAGCTCCGACGAAGAAGTGTCGAGGACGTGGGTCATCTTGGCCCTGAAAACAGGAATTTGCTGAAGAATCAGAATGACCTTCGCAAAAGAAAGTCTTGAAAAACAGTCCTTGTCAATTCGAGGTGCTGCATTCCCAGTGAGGATGGATCATTCATTGACTGGGTAGGAATTGGAATTAGTGAGGGTTTTAACAGCACTCGAGATATACACACTGAAGCTTTTCCGATCATAGTAATCCCAAGAAGTAAGACAGTCGCATATTAGGTGTTCTTTCGGTCGGACGAAGCCTTTTTGTGTGTGTGTGTGTGTGTGTGTGTGTGTGTGTGTGTGTGTGTGTGTGTGTGTGTGTGTGTGAGGACGACTGTTTGTCCAGAGTGCTGCATTCGGCAGCGAGACTTGAAAGCGTACCTGTGTGGTGGTTTGCAGCCAGCATACTCATCTCACATTGTTGCTGTGAAGGATGTGAAGCCGATATGGATAGAAAGCAGGCATTCATCACGGGTTGCTCAGTGGATAGCCGCGCGACCGATTCTCGTAGTGGATTCGTTGGAGAATCATAAGCGGAAAGGATACGGCATGTGTCAGAAAAATAGTATGCTCGCAACTTTGTAGACGAATCAGCTAGTCGTGATACTATTCCAGCGTCATGTTGTTTCCCCGGGGTGCTTTCGGCGTCGGAGGTCTGCAATGTAAGTGCTGGACCGCTGCCTGTGGTCGAACGATTGGGCGCTTCTGTACTTTCACCATATGGGTCTGATGTCTTGCATTGCTTAATGGTCTTACTAGAGGACTAACTACGCTCAAGAGGTTGCAGATCGCTCAGCAAAGCGAGACGTAGCTTCTCCGCTGGTTCAGTGAACCAACTCATAAGAGGTCCGTTTTGTGATGAAGACACCGATTGTTCCGATTTTTGTGAAGCCAGACCTTTCGCTTCCTGCTTTACCGACCATTTAACATCCTTGCGATACCCCGGGCAGTCATATCCTCTCCGAGTGCAAGCCACGCAAGAAGGCCTAGTTCCGTCACATTTAATTCGCTGCGATAAGTAGTGTCCTGACTTTGGCATAAGAATCGCTGACTAGCTTACACGCTGCTTACACCGTGCGCACCCCACTTTAATCTATGTTAGTGGCTTATATATTTAGTGTGTTATTATGACTACGTAGTTACCTCGAGATTTGACTGCTCTATTTGATTGAGCCAGTTCTTGGCGTTTCATGTTGCCCCATTACAGCCATGAGGGCTTCACGCACGCAGAAGGAAGGATGAACAGGCGCGTCAGTGTCCGTTACAGGATGCTTGCAGCTGGCCACTCATGAGCTCAGGCGCTTAATAATTGCAATGGTACGTTGTGTTTTGGCTCAGGTAAACGCTTATGAATGATGGAATCTGTCTTTGTGCATTGTGCCTTATGTGCTGATTGGCAGTCGTAATCCACCACGGCACTTAAGTTGTGTCATTCTGCCCCCTTCTCGACCAATCGCACATTCACGCCTAAAGTGGTTTAGCGTTAGACGATCCGGAACAGAAGGCACTCGACCCTCGGAACTATACATGTCAATTCACTGCCGAGTTGTAAACCGGGATCAATTCCGGGATGATGGAGATGGCGTGATATCCAGGTACCTATGGCTAAGCATACTTAGGAAACACTTTCCAGACGGCATCACTTACGTGATTACCAATCATGATGAGCAAGATTGTGTATATAAGCGCTGGATGAACAGATCATCGTATCCTTTTAATATCTGCAGAACAGTACAGGAATTGGAGAACTGCCAGCGAGATACTTCAATACTACGAACAACTTAAAGCACCACAAAGCCTCATAATCATCCCAGCAAGATGGCATCCTCACTAAAGAATGTGGTAATCATTGGAGTAAGTGACCCAATTCAGTTCCTCCCCCACCCTTCGATATTAACATTTACTCTCTTTCAGGCAGGAGGAAACCTAGGCTCTCATGTCCTAAAAGCCTTCCTCTCATCCAAAGCCTTCAACATCACCGCACTCACCAGAGAGTCATCTACCAGCTCTTTCCCCGACGGCCTTCAAGTCATCAAATCAGACTACAGCCACGACTCGCTCGTCTCCGCGTTCAAGGGCCAAGATGCCGTGATCAGCATCGTAGGCAATGCAGGTCTTTCATTCCAACAGAAACTCATCGACGCTGCCGTCGATGCAGGAGTGAAACGGTTCATCCCCAGCGAATTCGGCAACAACACCGCCGACGACCGTGTCCGGGCTCTCGCACCGCTTCTCGACGGCAAGAAAGCCAACGTCGATTATCTCAAGGAGAGACAGGATCGGCTAACTTGGACTGCGCTCATCACGGGACCCTTTTTCGATGCGGTAAGTAGATCTACAGCACACACTTATAGTGCTATACTTTCCTATGCTGCATTGAAGAAGAAAATCTAAGACAACTCCACAATAGGGTGTCAAAAACGGCTTCCTAGGCTTCAACCTCCAATCCCACGAAGCAACCCTTTATGACGAGGGCACCAACCCGGCCTCCGTGAGCACCCTCGCTCAAATCGGCCGTGCTCTCGTTGCTGTTTTGCAGAACCCGGAGGTTACCCAGAACCAATACGTCTACGTCGAGTCATTCACTATCACTCAGAAGCAGATTCTCGGTGCTCTAGAAAAAGCCACCGGCAAGGACTGGAAGGTCACTGATGTTGCCTTGAAGCCGCTTATCGAAGAAAGTACCGAGCGGCTCAAGGGTGGGGACTTTACTGCCGTGAGAGTTTTACTCTTGGCGGCTGGGTGGGCGAGGTTCCCGGATGGGCCGTATGGAGATTGGGCACGGGTGTCTGGGGGATCGTGGAATGAGAGGTTGGGACTTGAATATGAGGATTTCGATGAGGTTGTGGGGTCGCTTGTCAATTAGGATGTCATGGATGATGTTTCTTGTTGTACTGTAGCAGCACCAGGTACTTGGAACGAGCAATAAATCTTTGATGAAAAAATTAGAGATATCAAGTATGGTATCTGAACTCCACCTCGCCATCGCCGGTCTTCACTCTTCGCGTATCTTCCTTCTCACCCGCCAGTATGTCCTCTTTCATCTTATTCTCGCGTCTCAGGTACATTGCATGAAGCGCGACAATTATCTGCGATACCACCAATGCCCCCAACGAGAACGCGTTCCCCAATACATATGGCGATGTGCGGTATACCTGCCCCGCTACAATACCGGCACAGTTGCCCACCGTCTGCTGCAGGCCGATCGCAAGTGCACGGCGGTACTGCGGAGCCACGTTGACGTTCAACCAGGCGACATTCAGACCGACACCGGTGTAAACAGCCACACCACAGAGGTAGGTCGCGAAGTATTTTACGGGGTCGCTGGAGACGGTCAGGAGGAGGATGTAACCGACTATGCCGAAGATGTTCGTAACTAAGATGAACTGTGCATAATGTTAGCACCACTTCATCTATAGTAAAAGGACCGCTAGTGGGAAGAAGACATACGATAGAAAACCTCCCAAATCGATCTGCACAAAACGCCACAGCAATAAACACAATCGCAGCCCAAATATACACCGGTACCGTGAGGACATTACTCATAAGACTATTATACCCCAGACTCCCCAAGATAGTCGGGAGGAAAGTACTAAACCCATAGAGAAGAATGTCCTGACAGAACTGCGTGAGGGCCGAGAACATGAGCTTGGGATCACGCAGGGCAATGCGCATCTCCTCCCAGCTGAAGTGCTCACTGCCCATGTACTTCCGGCGTTGTTCGTTGCGCACGCGCATCATGTACTTCTCTTCGTCGGTGAGGAAGTAAGCGTTGCTGGGGTCGTTGGGGAGACCGAACCAGATTAGGACGGCGCAGATCAGACTGAAGATTCCTTCGATAATGTAGACCCATCTTGATTCTTTCATTAGCATTGGGGATGGGATGGCTGAGAATGATGAGGAAGGGGGGATAGGTTTACCTCCAGCCGGCTTTGCCGCCTATACCGTCCATGTGCAGCAATGCATAGGCGAGGAGACCGCCCACGGCACCGGAGATGGCGGCGCAGCTCATTAGGTATGAGACGCGCTTTGCCTGTTCTTCTCGACGGTACACCATGGTCAAGTACAGGTTCAGACAGGGGAAGAGACCGGCTTCGCAGCCTCCGAGGATCAATCGTGTTGCGTAGAGCGAGGCAACATTGTGAATGAACCCCGTGAACACGGTAGTGATGGACCAGATGATACATAGACCGGTCAGGATATTCCGTGGCGTGAGCTTCTTCATTGCTACCGCCCACGGTGCTTCCAAGAGCACGTAGGTGGCATAGAAGATAGACACGGCGGTGGAGTACTCGCTGTCGGAGGCGTGGATGTCTTCAGGCATGCCAGCTACCTTCACATTACCTGGATGATCATTAGCCAGCTGTACCAACGTGGGGAATATGCAATGGGGGTTATTCACCGATATTACTGCGGTCAAGGAAACACGACAGGTAGGTCAACATGATGATGGGCACAAAAGCCATATCGAGCTTCATGAGAAGCTTCTTCTCCTTCGCTGGATCGAGCACGACATCGTCAATGGCGCCAATGGCGGTCTCTTCAGGAGACGCCTGCTCGAATGGTTTCTCGAGCGATTTACGCTCAACAACAGGATCCATCTGATCGGTAGTCATGATGGATGAAGTGAGCTGTGAAACCCAGAAGAAAGTGGGGGAAGAGGGAAGATGATGAAAGCGTCAAACGCGGAAGATCTGGGGTTAAGAACCATGGACCAGACCTTCAGGGTAGCACCTGAAGGCGGCAACGGATCGATAACACGGCCACTAAACCGGGAAGCTATCTATCGTGAGGGGCGAGTAGCATTACGCTCCACAGGGTCACCCATCGGGCCGATGGACTGATAAGCAAAGTTAAGATTTCCCGGGAGGATATCATCTGGCATACGCTCATTGGTGAAATCGCGGACTAAAGCGACCAACGCTTATCACGCTGGTGGAGCACCAACACGTTTATCCCCGGATATCGGAGCCCACCTGCCGATAGAGACACGAGGAGTATGGGGTAGATACAAAACGATTGATAGGCTATCAGGTCTATCGGTCGAGAGGTTATTGATTATATATGCTAACTCAATATTGAAGTTACTGCACGGTAGGTACATATGACAAGGATTCATGCAGCAATCCAAATGACCTTCACTACCCAGACACCGGAAACCCTAAGCAGCCAGAAAACCCGGCTTCTGGCCCGCCAAAACACCATTACCAACACAGCCGGCTACTCTGGGGCTAACCTGCAAGCCAATCTCCTCATTTTGCCTGAGAAATACAGCCGAGACTTCCATAACCTCTGCCTCCGCAATCCCGTGGCCTGCCCACTGTTAGGAATCAGCAGCATCCCGGGAAACCCCCACAAAATCTCCCCAACGCCATGCATCCGTAACAGCGACTTTGACATCCGCACCGACTGTCCTGCATACCGAGTGTACAAGCACGGGAAATGCATCGCCGCAAACAAACGCGACCTACTCGGCCTCTGGTCCGCGAATGATGTTGAAGGCCAACAAAGTTCAGAAAACTACACAGCCTTCCTCCTAGGCTGCTCCTACAGCTTCGAAGCGGCTCTCTGCAATGCCATCCCGCCTCTAACCCCACGACACCAAGTAACCAACACCCTCGTGCCAATGTATCGCACCTCGTTGCCTCTCTCGCCTGCAGGGATCTTCACCAACGCAACTTGCACCGTGTCGATGCGCCCATATCACGAATCAGAGGTCGAGCGGGTGCGGGACATCACGCGCCCGTATCTGGCCACGCACGGGGAGCCGATTGCTTGGGGCTGGGATGCGGTGAAGCGCTTGGGCATTCGGGATATTCATGATCCGGATTTTGGGGACAA